TATGATGATCTCTTTACAGCAAAAATAGTTAGTACAGCCAAATGGTCTACGATATCGTTTTCAAAGCCTAAAAATGTTATCCCACTTTTGCTGTTACAACTATATCAAGACATTATAATGATGATGTGACAGTAGCTGTGATAGACAAAAATGCTGCGGTTTAAAATGCGACAACGTTGTCGCAGACGTTTTATAGTTTCATGTGCTACTTGGGTTGTTTCGCAGGTTCCGTTTGAATATGCATCTTGTATGCCTAGGAGTTATGAAAAAATTATTTTCTGCGTGGGTACATGGAAAATACTCACGATTTTCAAAATTGTCTGCAAGAGCTATTACTAATGTTTGTACACGATTGGAAATACTTACTGCTTATTGTCCATCTGATTTTGCAAGGCGTCTTAGATCACTCAAAGTATGTATGAAATATAAAGCGACAGAATTTCGCCAATTTTTATTATATGTTGGTCCAGTTGCGATGTACGGTATTGTGAAACAGGAAGTATACACACACTTTTTATTTTTACATGTAGCAATAAGAATTTTAATTTCCACATCACCATCCAAAGCACATTTAACGTTTGCACATCGTGCATTGCAAAAATTTGTTGCTAAAACTGAATATTTTTATGGCCCAACATTTAATTCATATAACGTACATGGTCTTATTCACCTTACTAATGACGTGCGACAATTAGGTCCTCTTGATTCTTTTTCTGCTTTTCCATATGAAAATAACATGACACTATTTAGAAAATTATGTAGAAAACCTGGACTTCCTCTTCAACAGATTTCAAATAGAATAGCTGAAATGGAAGCACATGAAGTAATTGATTATTGCAATATTGATTCTATTAATATATTTATGAAGCATAATACAGGTCCTCTTCCACATAATCTTGATTGTAATCTTCCTCAGTATCGTAAAATTATATTTAATGGAATTTTGTATACTTTAGATAAACGCGATAATTGTTGCATATTAAACGATGGATCTATTTGTATTATTATTAATATTTTCATGGCCAACAATTCATATTATTTGGTAATAAAAAAATTTTTGCAGGTACATGACTTTTACGATATTGGTATTTCATCTTCCTCGTTAAACATTTTTAAATGTTCTAAATTGAGTCCTAATATTTTTTCCGTTAATATCAATGATGTACGTGTAAAATGCTACAGAATGCCTTTTTGGAATATACTCATGGATGAAAATAGTGATGATGAAAATTATTCAGAAACTTCTGAATATATAGTAACTGCTATTATACATAGTAATAAAACATAACATTTAAATTCTCTTATTGAATATACTATATATTACAATTATTAAAATTAATAATAAATAATATAATTGCAATTATTATTAAAATACCATAAATATTATTATAATTATTATTAAAAAATAGTAGCCCAAGTAGCACAGCCTAGCTCGATTGGCTTTGACAGCAAAAATGTGGCTAGTATAACGTTCCACCAGCATTAAATACAGCTATTTGGCAAGAAAAGTTATTTTGCTGGATTTTTAATTGCAAGAACGTTTTAATAGCTAATA